CTCCCGAGCCCTCGGCCACCTTCTTCTGCAGCTCCTCCATTTTGGCCATCATGGCCTCGTATTTGAGATCTAAATGAGGGGTGGAGGTGGTGGCGCGAGCTTTGTTGGACTCCATCTCGTCAAGCCGGCGTTGGAGGGCCGCAATAATTTCGTCCCGGGGATCCTTCGGGAGGGTCTCCGCCCCCTGCGAACGAACCCGGGCCGAGTGGGCCTGGTTGATCTGGTGGCGAGCGTCATCGGCATGAAGGGGTGCCTTGCCTTTGTCCCGAGGGGGACGCTCCTCGTCTGCCCTCGAAACAGATCCCCCGCTTTCCTGGGGCCTTTGGAGTGCTTTCCCCCGAGGCGGTCTTGGACCCCTCGGCGGTCTTGGACCCCTCGGCGGTCTGGCCCTCCTCCGAGCCGGTTGAGGGCGGAAGTACGGGGCCTTTCCCTGTTGTCATTATGGCGGTCCCGGGACTGAACTTCCTGGGAGGACGTATCTCGGGCCACCACCCCCTCGTCGTTCCTCACCCGAGGGGTGGGATTTCCGAAGGGGTGTGGCAGAGGGGGAAGTATGATGTTTTCCCCAACCTGAGGGTGAGCTGGAGCCAGGGTGCCGAAGGCACCCGGGTTCTGGGTGAGCGTTTGGATAAAGGCGGAGAGCGCCGATTGCACGTCGATGGTGAGAACCGGAGGGCTGACTTGGTCATCGCTCCGGTTTTTCTTCTTGGCCTCGATGCCGAGGCGGGCATCGGGGGCATTTTGTTGGATCTGAAGGCGTAGGTCGACAGCCGTCTGTTCCAGCCCAGCGATGACACCGCCCTCGGGAGTCCTGTGAGAGGCTTCGGGGGCGTTGACGTCGCCGAGGGCCAGGTTCTTGTCTTCTACGTTCTTTGAGTTGGCACGTGTTGTTCTCACCATTTTGATAGAGGGCTAGTGTTTTGTGTTTGGTCGAGGGGGAGGGTTTCTTACTCGATTGTTCGACCTCTCAACGAGAGCACCAAATGATGGATAGTCTACCCGGGGGTATATATCCGAAGGGTTATTACGGGGAATAACTTAGAGAGAAGTCAGAGCAAGTAAGTAAAAGTAGAGAGAGAATGTATCCAGTATGAATGCCGTTTTCAGCGTGGTTACAAATGGGGAAATGGGGTGCTATTTATAGTAGCAATAAATGACGGGCAGGGACACGTGTCAAGCGCTCATTGGCCGAGGGGTCACCTCAACTGGTTGGCGCTGGCAGCCGCATGTGGCCGCATTTAATGCCGCTGTTGGATGGGACGTCTGTATAGGGTACGGTGATCTGTACGCATGTGAGGCGGATATCTTGTCGAGTGAGATGCCTTCGGTTATAGAGCAGTAGCTGAGGGCTCCTCCAACCGATGGCACCCTGGTGCCGAGGGCTCACAGTGCCAAGGGCTACTGTTTTCGCCGTTTTCTCCCAGTTTCTTAGTTTGCTTGAGAAACCCGTTCTGTGAGAGTTTAGAGCCTTCGGCCCGGGGGCCGAAGGCACCCCTGGCGCGTAGTGCGGGCTGCTTGGTACTCTGGGCGCTGTGATTTGGGCCTGTTGGGCCTCTAAAGGAGTAGTAGGAGTCTGTGGGCCAGGGGTTCCCGGGCTATATACTCCATCAATTCTGTTATGTAATATATTCTACAATAAAAGTTTGTTGTATTGTAATTTTTATTTGATATGCTTGTTTCGGTTGTAAAAGTTATGTACATTTTAATGAATAAATTCTTGTTTATATTGCAATATTGAACTAATATTTGTTCATTTTTATCTTTTTAAAGATATGGAGTTAACTGAAATTTCTCCAAATGACTTTGAACAATGTTTAATAGACAGTGCCACAACGCACACTATTTTGAGACATGGAGATTCTTTTTCTCATATGACATTAGTTGATGCTAATTTCAATACAATCTCAGGTGTTGCTAAACTCATTGAAGGTTCTGGAATTGCCTGTGTAATTCTCCCAAAAGGGACAAAATTAATAACTAAAGACGCTTTATACTCCAGAAAATCACGGAGAAATCTTTTGAGTTTCAAAGATATGCGTCTAAATGGTTTTCACATTGAAACCATGTCTGAAAATCAAAAGGAATATTTATGTCTAACGACAAATAGATCTGGCAATAAATACATTTCAGAAAAAATGCCAGCATATTCCTCCGGACTATATTATACATATATCAGTCCAATTGAGATAAATGTGGTATCTAAAATTAATGACCACAGTTCCTTTATCTTGTGGCATGACCGTTTAGGTCATCCAGACAGCACTATGATGCGCAAAATTATTCAAAATTCACTTGGACATTCATTAAATAATGTCAAAATTCCACAATCAAGTGATTTCTCATGCACAGCCTGTTCTCTTGGCAAATTAATTATCAGGCCATCTTTATACAAAATTGGAGTTGAATCTCCTGCATTTTTAGAAAGAATTCAAGGAGATATTTGTGGGCCAATTGCCCCTCCGTGTGGACCCTTTCGATACTTTATGGTGCTCATTGATGCATCAACACGTTGGTCACACGTCAGTCTTTTATCGACTAGAAATTTTGCATTTGCAAATCTCCTTGCTCAAATTATTCGTTTGAGATCACAATTTCCGGATTTTTCAATAAAGAAAATCCGACTTGATAATGCAGGGGAATTTACATCCCAATCTTTTAATGACTATTGCATGTCAATTGGGATTGATGTGGAACATCCAGTTCCACATGTGCATACACAAAATGGTCGTGCTGAATCCTTAATTAAGCGATTACAATTAATTGCTAGACCATTATTGATGAAATCCAGATTACCATCATCTGCATGGGGATATGCTATAATGCATGCTGCAAATTTAATTAGGCTCAGGCCAACTGCATATCATAAATTTTCCCCATTGCAATTAATATCTGGCAAAGAACCAATATATCACACATAAAAATATTTGGTTGTTCTGTGTATGTACCAATTGCTCCACCTTATCGTACTAAAATGGGTCCTCAAAGAAGGCTGGGAATTTATGTTGGTTTTAAATCTCCCTCAATTATTAATTATCTAGAACCTATGATTGGTGACTTATTCACCGCACGGTTCGATGACTGTCATTTTGATGAAACAGTATTCCCAGCCTTAGGGGGAGATAATAAAGAAATGGACCCACGTACGAAAGATATTACTTGGAATGCAACAGATTTATCTTTTCTTGATTCTCGCACAAATGCTTGCGAACAAGAAATTCAAAAGATCATTCATTTACAAAGTGTTGCAAACCAATTGCCTGATGCTTTCACAGACTCAAAGAAAGTGACAAAGTCACATATTCCAGCTATGAATACTCCTTCTCGTATAGAAATTCATGCGGAGATTAGCGAAAGAACTCTTGCTAATGAATCTATGATACGTAAAAAACGTGGTAGACCACTTGGTTCAAGAGATTTGAAACCAAGAAAATTTAAAAAGCAAGATGTAGTTTGTGATGTCAAAGAAGTTCAACCTTCTCAAGAAGAAAATGAACATTATGATAATATCGGCATTGAAGATAACATCAATAATAAGGATACCTCAAAAGAGGATCCAATCACCTTTGAAGAGGTAAATATTCCAGATACAGATAGAAACGTTGATAATTTTGAAATTTCAATCAATTACATTTCTAATGGAATGCAATGGAATAGAAAAGATATTGATGTTAACGATATATTTTCATATGCCATCACCACAGATAAAATGAATGAACACGATGACAATGAGCCTAAATCTATTGACGAATGTCGTCGTAGAAACGATTGGCCAAAATGGAATGAAGCAATTCAGGTAGAACTAAAATCGCTAGAAAAGCGTAATGTTTTTGGACCAATTGTCCACACGCCAAAAGGCGTAAAACCTGTAGGTTTTAAATGGGTGTTTGTGCATAAACGCAATGAGAAAAATGAAATCGTTAGATATAAAGCCCGACTTGTTGCCCAAGGTTTTTCTCAAATGCCAGGAATCGATTATGATGAGACGTATTCTCCAGTAGTTGATGCTACTACTTTACGATTTTTAATTGGCATGTCTGTTTTTGAAAGGCTGCAAATGCGGCTAATGGATGTAGTGACCGCATATTTATATGGTTCACTCGATACAGATATATATATGATAATTCCTGGAGGCTTTAAAATACCTGATGCTTATAGCTCGAAATCTCGAGATTTATTTTCCATAAAATTGCAAAAGTCATTATACGGATTAAAACAATCTGGACGCATGTGGTATAACCGTCTAAGTGAATATTTGATTAAAGAAGGATACAAAAATGATCCTATTAGTCCATGTGTTTTCATTCAGCGATCTGAATCAGGATTCGCCATAATTGCAGTATATGTTGATGATTTGAATATAATCGGAACTTCCAATGAAATTGAAAATACTGCTAAATATCTCATGAAAGAATTTGAAATGAAAGATCTTGGGAGAACAAAATTTTGTCTCGGCATTCAAATTGAACATTTGAGAAATGGTATTTTTATCCACCGATCAAATTATACCGAGAAACTTTTGAAGCGGTTTTACATGGAAAAAGCTCACCCACTCAATTTCCCGATGGTGGTTCGATCTCTCAATGTGCATGATGTTCCTTTTCGACCTTGTGAAGATGATGAAGAAATCCTTGGTCCCGAAATACCATATTTGAGTGCTATTGGAGCGTTAATGTATTTGGCTAATAATACACGACCAGATATTGCTTTTTCTGTAAATTTATTAGCCTGGTACAGTTCTTCTCCGACAAGAAGACATTGGAATGACGTCAAACATATATTCCGCTATCTCAATGGTACAATCGATCTTGGATTGTATTTCAAGAATGGTGCAAATGCCACTTTAATTGGCTATGCCGATGCAGGATACTTGTCTGACCCACAAAAGGCAAAATCACAAACGGGATATGTATTCACCTATGGTGATACCGCTATCTCATGGAGATCAATGAAGCAAACATTAACTACCACATCATCAAATCATGCAGAATTAATTGCTCTTTATGAAGCAGGTCGAGAATGTGTCTGGTTGAGATCAATGATCCAGCACATACAAAATGAATGCGGTATAAAATCTTTTACTTGTAATCCTACTGTGATTTATGAAGATAACACAGCATGTATAGCTCAGATCAAAGGAGGTTACATCAAAGGGGATAGAACAAAGCATATAGCACCAAAACTTTTCTCCACACATGATCTTGAGAAAGAAGGAACAGTTGATGTCAAACAAATCAAGTCCTGCGACAACCCTGCTGATTTATTCACAAAGTCATTGGCACCGAAGAAATTTGAAGAACTGGTCCACAAAATTGGAATGTGTCATCTTCGAGATATATGTTAAATTGAGGGGGAGTAATATAATGCATTGCACTCTTTTTCCCTTCGCCAGGTTTTTATCCCAATGGGTTTTTCCTGACAAAGGTTTTTAACGAGACAGTACATTATAATACTATGATACTAATACCCCAGAATAATTAGAAGATGACCATTCAAGGAGGAGTGTTGAAATATATTGAATTAGTCATCTTCCAACTATTCCTGATTAGGAATTATTATCACCATTGTATAAATAATTAGGAAATCATAATTATGATTCTAGATGATAATTGTGTGGTTCACAATTATCCTCTAATCCTAATAAGCTTAGCTTTTCTCCTATAAATATGAGTCTTCTCCATTGTAATCAACACACCTTCATTACACCATTATCACACTCTCTAATACACCTCTATCACTAAGTGTTCTACTATACTTTCTCTCCCTGATCTTCTGCTCATTTCCTTTCATATTATAACATAATAAACATATTCATATAAACTATGCGTCAGTTTTTGACTTTTAATTTCTATTTTTATTTCTTTCATTTTACACCCTTAGTGAATATTTAATTAAAATTTGGGAAAAGTACGGAAAAGGTACAAGTGGTTTTGGTCGTTTTCAAATTGGGGCACGTCATTTTTTAACAAAAAGAGACATGTGTTTCAATTTTGTTATCACAGCTAGGGCATGACGTCTACCACCATTAGAAAAATTAACTCTGATTTTCAAAAGTTTCCGAAATATTAAAAGAAAATACCGGGAGGTGTGCCTCGTTAAGAGACCAACTAACTATCGTTCTCATTGGATTTTTGTGATTTATTGGGATTGTTTAAAAAAACAAATTCACTAATATCACTTTTCCGATGATTATCTCGTGACAGAGTAGTATTTTTCTTTTAATTTTTCGGAAACTTTTGAATATCAGAGTTAATTTTTCTAATGACGTTAGATGACATGCCCCACCTGTGATAACGAAATTGAAACACATACTCCGTAACAGTTAAAAAATGAAAACCTGCTCCTATTTGAAAAATGCCCAAACTTATATTTGCAGGTGCTCCTATTTGCAGGTGCCAATTCACATATGGAGTATGAAAAAAAATGGTGGGGCCATGGCTCCTTTGGGCCTGTACTAAGGTCCGCCCATAAATGCAAACCATTCCATTTATTATCATTTCAAGTGCTCTATTGCATTGATGCTTTTTTCATCCATTTTTAATTATTTAGGATATTCATTTTCAATGCATTTTTAATATAATTAGTCATTAGATCATAAATCCAATGCTTTAGATTTAGTCATACTTTTCATGAAAAGGACATCCCAGCCAAAAATTGTACGATGCAAAATCTTTTTAAAATGTATTATACCGTTTACGTTAAATAATCAAACTAAATTGTGTATGACTATATAAATAATTATATAAATAATTACTTCCTCCGTTCTTTTTTAGTTGCAATATTCACTTTTTCACGCTTGTCAATGCACAACTTTGACCGTCATTATATTTTATTCTCTATTAGTAAAAAACTTTTAAAAATCAGATTATGAAACTTTGTAATGAGACGAATTCAATAATATTTTTCAAAAACAATAATTCACATACATTAATAAATAAAATGTAGTCAAATTAGATTATAAATAATATCTAAATTCTAATGTTGTAAATACGGAGGATAATATTTAAAATCCTATCAAACGAAATAAATAAATAAATAAATACATACTACGTATCTTAGTTGAATTTGCAATTATTAGAGCTAGACTAGATAGGATCATAGGAGTGTCAAGAGAGACCAACATAATTCAGCCATACAATCCCATAAGAGGAAAGTATATACATTACGGTAAGGTAGCTATCATTGTTCAAGAAAGAAATTAAAGATGGAAAGAGCGGAAGGGTGGACTAGATTACGGACAACCGCCCTTTTGTTCAACGCCATATTTATGGGCATCGGAAACTGCGGCAACCCTCTTCTCACGCGCCTCTACTTCATCGGCGGCGGCACCCGGATATGGTTTTCCACCTGGCTGCAAACCGTCGCGTGGCCAGTCACTTTCATCCCTCTTTTCGTCTCCTACCTCCACCACCGCCGCCGCCGGAGCCAGACAAGTGACTCCGGGGAGTTCCAACATATCACGCCGTTTCTTTTCATCTCCGCCTTCCTCATCGGCCTTCTGATGGGCCTAAACAACTACCTCTTCACATACGGCGTTTCCAAGCTTCCGGTCTCGACGGCGCTTCTGATCGGGAGCTCTCAGCTCGGGTTCACGTCAGTGTTCGCTTTCTTCCTCGTGAAGCAGAAGTTTACGGCGTTCACGATAAACGCGGTCATTTTGCTGACCTTATCGGCGGTTGTTTTGGGCGTCCGGGCGGGGACCGACCGCCCGGCGGGGGAATCGAACAAGGAATATATTTTGGGGTTTGCTTTGACAGTTGGGTCGGCGGCTTTGCTGGGGTTGGTTTTGCCTTTGGTGGAGTTGAGTTACAGTAAGGTGAAGATGGCGAGAATTGAGTACAGTATGGTTCTTGAATTTCAGATGGTTCTGTGTTTTGCTGCCACTCTGTTCTGCACGGTTGGAATGTTCATAAACGACGACTTCCAGGTTATCTTACGTAATAGTATCTCTACCAAATTGATTTATAAACTTGATTTTTCGTTGAATAGTTTTATTTTTATTACTTAATCAGATATCAATTTTTTATTAAATTTTAATTTGAATGTTTCAATTTTAAATATATTTTAATGTAATTTCTGAATATGTAAATTTTGATTATTAAAAATGAATTATTTATGGATAGTGAGAATTTAACTTTAAATAAAAAAGTATTGATTTATGCAAAACAAATTGGCATGGAAGTAGTATACTCTTACGGCTTCAATGTTTTTATTTAGTCATTTCACTCATATCCTATCAAATTAATAAATTCCGACAACAATAATAAATTCATGAAAGCAATATTTATTATGCATGGTCATAGGTGGGCAAAAGACCCGGTCCCGTTGGTCCGTTCCGGAATGTTCCGGTACCGTTCCGAAATTGTCCCGTTAAATTCGGGACAAACTATTTTTGTCCCGTTCCGGTCCCGAACCATTTCAAAACAAAACATGACCGGGATAAATAGAATATGTCCCGTTCCGTCCCGTTGTTCCGAATTCAAAATTGTACGGAGTATATAGTTGTAGGTTAGTGAGTCTACCATCAATTCAAATACTAATGAATATTAATTAGGTATTAGTTATCTAATATGTAAAACACCTAAAGGAGTCTAAATTATATCAAGTATGAACTATCTTCTACATACTAAAAAGAAACTCACATATACTTCACATGTTTCACTTCTAATAATATTGTTTGTCTTTTTATTTATTTTTGTAGTTTCTTAGTAGTATTGTGTGTGTTGGAGTTAATTGTTGTTGTTACGGTTTGTTTCGTGCAACTATCCTATTAATCTACTATTTTTTTTGTTGCATTTATCGTAAATTTTTGTATGTGTTGCATTTTTAGTGTTGTAGTTTTTGTCGAAGTTTCTTTTTGGAGCTGTATTTTTTTCGCTGCAATTTTTTTTGGGCTAAAGGGTCAAATAGGTCCCTGTACTCATATCAATAGCTCAATTGGGTACTCGAACTAAAAAAAGGTCCAATCCAATCCTCCAACTCTTCAAAATCGTTCAATTTTTTCGTTTTTTCAAAGGCTAAAGGGTCAAATAGGTCCCTGTACTCATATCAATAGCTCAATTGGGTACCCGAACTAAAAAAAGGTCCAATCCAATCCTCCAACTCTTCAAAATCGTTCAATTTGTTCGTTAAGCATGAGCTATTGATATGAGTACAGGGACCTGTTTGGGATGTCCCGAACCGTCCCGTTCTGTTTCGGTACCGGTTTAAAAGGGACAACAGCTGGACAACATCGTGTCCCGTCCCGCTCTGTCCTGTTATCCTAAACCGTATTCGGGACCGGGATAGTCTAATTCCCGTCCCGTTCCGTCCCGTGCCCACCCCTACATGGACACGTCTGTTCAAACCAAATTTCACTTGAATCGACTAAATCATAAATTTTTACTTCCACTTACAATCATCATTATTGTATAATTCCAAGTATTTTATATTCTCTCCGTCTCTAAAAGATTGTTTAAATTGATTTTCTTGATCAATGCTGGTCAAGTTTGACGAATGATATTTTTTCATATAAAATTATTTAAAATATGAAAATTATATGAGCATATTCTTTATTAAAAAATCTTTCATATAAGTATAAAATTTATAAATTACAAATAAATATAATAGCTAAAATCATTGTCTACACTTTACAAGAAAAGTCAAATTGACCAATCTTTTTGAAATGAGGGGTACAAAATTGACCAACATGGACCAATTTGACTAAGTCATTTTATAATTGGTCTGCTTAAGTCTTGTCTTATTTGGTAAATATTTGTTTTATGTGAACTTTATTATTGTCTAAATCTTGTCATCTAATCTATTTTAATTTGATCTAATTTAGTCTTGTGTTTAAGAAACCAGCCTGGCCCGACCGGGTTGTCCCGGAAACTGTCGACCCGGGTAAATCGCGGGTCTAGTACTAGTCTGAAACCGTAAAAGGTCAAAACCCGGTAAAACCTGTCAAAATCTGACCGAACCGATAAAAAATCTGAAACATCCAGTCGATTCGGACCATGGATGTAAAGACGACGAAAATGTCGAAAGGAGCGCTTACTTCGATTTTGATAGATCCTCTAGATTTCCAATTAGGAAAATTCCTTTTGTACACGCCAAGTTTTACACACCGGGTTACACGCTTGTCAAATTGTCTGTGTACAGACAATTTGACCGGCTACACAGACATATTGAGCAGTGTTTTACGAAGAAAATCGATTTTCACACAGACAAAAATAAAAAAATGTTTGTATCACACACACTATGAAAAATTCAGGTCTAAAATGTCGGTGATACAGACAACTCTTTATATTTTGTATGTATGGAAATCGATTTTCTTCTTAAAACGCCGGTCAAATTGTCTGTCTAACCGATCAAATTGTCTGTATATACAGACAATTTGACCGGCATGTAACCCGGTGTGTAACCCGATGTATACACGAAGCGGGCCTCTTCCAATTAAAGTGACAAAGATTATCGACTGATACTCTAGTTTTGATTTCCTTTTATAGATCTGTGCACACAAAGTAAATTAAGAAGAAGTATTGGTAGGGTCTGTAACTAATTTGAAATGCAGCAGAACGGTTGGGAAAGAGTTTTGGACTAGGGAGTGGATTGGCAAGTGGAGTGGGGAATAAGTGGGTTGGGATTTGTGCATATATGGGGAAGAGGAGAGAACAAACTCAAAAGAAAGTGAAAATGCTTACACGGTATTTTTTGAATAAAAAATGGATTATATTAATGTGATTCATATCGTAACAACAAACTCAAAAAACCACCGACAATAATTATTCATAAGGATGTTTTTATTTGGATCGTAATTTGCTTGTCTGGACTGGTCTGGTTTCTTTGTATTTTTATAACTATCCAAGTCTGGTCTGGTCTGAACTGATCCGGTCTGGTCTGATCTGGGAGGAATTACACTCCAAGTAAAAACATTCTAACTAGCACTATCAATCTTACGACTAAACTTAGAAACGATCACATCTGAAGGAGTAATAGAAATCACTAATCACCAAACGAGTGTGATACAATAATCACTGAACATATAAATCCTTCTAACGACATAATATCTAGCAGAATTGTCAATCCTTATTGTAGACCTAAAACTAAAGTCATCAACAACAAAAAGAGACCATGAACAAACTTAACACGAAAGTAAGATCATAAAAAATAAAATAATTGAAAAATACTCCAATCTTCTTCCTGCCAGTATTCTTGAAGTATCGTCTTCCAAACCCTATCATCTCAGTCGCTCCAGGACGACGGTTCAGGAGGGGGCGGACTGTCAATATGTCTTCTCCCGTGCTTAGAACTCGATTCAGAAATTGTTAAGCAATTTTCCAATCAAATGTATCAATCACAAACCTCCATATTCGATCTATAGCAGCACATCTAGAAACATCAACCATAGAGAAGCAGAACATGGAGAGGCAGAACATGGTAACGACCGCCCTCTAATTGTCGGTCCAAATCATTCTCTGGACAAGAAACAACGCAAGCTGCCTATCGGAAAGAAAAACCCTAGAAGAAAGCTAAGAAGAAGACCACTTCTACGATACTATGAGCATTAGCACAGAATTGGGAGACTGATTCACATCTTATTAATCAGCTTAATATAAAAAACTTCAAGACAGATGTGAAGATAATGGGGAGGAAGATGAATTGGGTTCAAACGAACCCTAAAGCTCCGTCTCCGATCCTATAATTCAACAGTTGTTCAATGACTCTGTCGCCGTTGAGCAGTGCTACAGGTTTGATCTCATTCCATCAATTCACTTCTGCTTTGGCCTCTCATTCTATCTAATTCTTAATTCTTACTTCTGAAATAGGATGATACTTCAATTTAATTGATCTAAAATCATCAAACTACAACTCATTTATAATTATTAAATCCTTTGTACTTATTGGAAATAAATGGGGTGGTTCGATGTAGTTTTCTCGGTTTAATATTTTAAAATGGTTATAAATTCATAATTAAGTATAGAGTTCTGCGTTCATGATTTACCAACACCAAACATGACATACATTAACAATAGAGTTGTGCTAGGTGTACATATTTTGGTATACACATTTTGGTGCACACCTTTCGTACACTCGTCTGTCTCACGCGCACAAAATTGTTTGTCCACAAATAACTCTACGGAGTTGTATGTTACAGAATTGTCTGTCCACAGACAACTCTATAGAGTTGTTTGTGGACAAACAACTCTGTGTGCGTGAGACAGACGAGCGTAGGAAAAGTGTACACGAAAAAGTGCACACCATGCATTTTTCTTACCAATAAGTTCCAGATGGTGCCAGAATAACAAACATTACTAGATCCGCCCAAGGCCCACCCAACTTTCTAATTTAATAGTTATGTAATGTTAAACATAATTTGTTTTTTTGTTGACAAAAACAATCTCAATAATCATTAATAAAATCAGCATTCAATACATCAATGATAAAATTAGGAGAATAGCACAACCAGAATCAGTCGTCAGACATAGAAAAACCGGCTTTAGCTAACTCATGAGCCACTTTGTTCGCAGATCGTCGAATATAATAAAACGAGATGTCTGTAAACCAAGAACGTGTATCTCGAATATCACCCACAACCAAACCTAATGCTGAAACACTTGAGCCCTCCAGGATCTCAGAAATAGCCTGAGAAGTGTTGAACTCGACATCGACAAAATCCCAGCCTTGACCTTTCCTTTAATCCAAGTAAGAGCTTCTCTTAAACCAACCAATTCGGCTTCCCATGGAGATAAGATACTGTGTCTGCACTTTGAAGACTGCCAGAAAGCCCCCCCCCCCCCCCCCCCCCACCCACCCATTCCGTAGAATCCAACCTAGGCCGCAACAATTTCTCCTCACAGCCGCATCAACATTGAGTTTCACTCTTCCCATCGCAGGGTGCCTCCAAACCGAAGCGGCAATCGATGCAGAAAAAGTTAGAGCTCCCCAAACAGCTGCACCTTCTCCCATCTAGCAACAAAAGCCTCTGCTTTCTTCAAAATAGACATGGCTTTCACCTAAACCCCTTTCCAAACCCGGCTGTTACGCTCACACCAAAGTCCCTAGCAACCCCAAATCAATTTACCCAATTCTTCTTTATTTTTAGCCTTAAACTCAGCTACAACCTGCTCCAAAAACTGCCAACAAAGGTTCTCGACCACCTCCAACCCACTGCACTCCACGCTTTCTTTGCCTTGGGACAACGAACAAACAGATGCAAAGGAGATTCCTCAACAGCGCCACATAGACCGCAAATAACTGCACAATCCACCCTTTTACTCCGCAAATTTTCTGTCGTTGGCAAGATGCCACAACACACCTGCCAGAAGAAGTTTTTGAGTTTTGGAGGCAACTGCCAATTCCACATTGAGGTCCATTCCAGCATGTCCACTCCCCATCACCGAGATCCCCAATAAGCTACCGGTAACAACTCCGAACAGAAAACCGGCCATTGGATTCCCATCTCCATCAAAGACTATCCGGGATAGAGTGGTGACTGAGCGGGATTCCTTGAACAAGATGCACATCCCTTGCTTCAAATAAATCATTTAAAAGATCCAAATCCCACCCCAAACCAGAGCATAATGCAGATTCTCCACTCGTGTGTGCTCCAAGCATGGAACCACAACTTTAGAAGACCCCGGATCCGGGAGCCAAGGGTCGGACCACACATTCATAGAAGCCCCGCTCCCAACCCTCCACTAGTAGTCCTTAACAATGTCTTGTGTTTGAAAGATACTTTTCCAAACAAAAGAAGGATTTTACCCTCCCATACCCAGTTTGGCGGTTAAGAAATTACTATCAGGATGATATATGGACTTGAACACCTTCCATACCCAAGAATCAATTTCTGAAAAAAAATCTCCAAGCTTGTTTAGCTATCATAGAAATATTAAATTCCCCGATTTTCTGGAAACCTATACCACCCACCTTTTCAGGTCTACATAGAAAATATCAACTCGACCACCTGATCCCCTTACCAACCTTTTCGTTGCACGAATACCTATCCATGAGAACTTCAGTTTCCCGGCACAGCTCCTTAGGTAGAAGGAAAGCATTCATAGCGTACGTTGACATAGCCTGAATGGCTGACTTTAAGAGTACTCTACCAGCTCTCGATAAAAATCCGTTATTCCAATTCTGAATGAGATTCAACACCCTATGTCTCAAATAGGATAAGATTTGTTTTCTACTACGACCCATCAGAGCCGGTAGCCTCAAATACTTCTCCTCATTTCCGGACGCACCCATAACCAAAATATCAATCAAGCCCTCCCTGCAATCAGCCGATACATTAGAGCTAAAAAAGAGCTTTGATTTAGTAAATATATTAATCTGCCCTGAAGCCAACTCATAGTCATGCAAAGTCTCCTTTACCATAGATGATTCCCCATGCATGGCCTTAAAGAATAAAAGTCTATCGTCTGCAAAAAAACACAAATGAGATATCCGTGGAGCGCTGCTCGGAACCACCACCCCATGTAGATGCCTCGCCGCCTCATTCCGTCATAAAAGAGCACTCAAGCCCTCAACCACCAGAATAAACAAGTATGGAGATAAAGGGTCACCTTGTCGCAACCCCCATTTAGGAAAAATAGGACCCAAATCAGTATCATCAAAGGGGATTGAGTAGGACACTGAGGTGACATACTCCATAATCAGCCCAATCCATCTATCACTAATCCCCAAGTGTGCCATCATGCCTTCCAAAAATAGTCATTCCATCCTATTGTAAGTCTTACTCATATCCAGTTTGAGCCCACAAACCCAGCCAGCCCCTGGGTCTTATGCTTCAAATAATGTTGGGTTTCAAATTCTAACATAACATTATCTACAATAGATCTACTCAGGATAAAGGCACTTTGATTCTCAGAAATGCATTAGTGAAGTAAACATTTCATTCTACTCGGGATAAAGGCACTTTGGAAAGGATCTTATATATAACATTACATAAAGAGTTAGGTCTCAAGTCCCCAACAAGTTTGAAATTTTCTACTTTATGAATTAATACAATATTTGTGTGATTTAACTTATCCGGAATTTTACCTGACTGGAACGTCTCAATGCAAAAATTGATCACATCCGGTCCCACAACATCCCAATGGTGCTGAAAAAATCTCGGACTCATCTCATCCGATCCAGGACATTTTTCCGCTCATCCGGTCCAGGACATTTTTCCGGACACAGCATACTCCGTATTATGTATTAGAAAATTTTGGTCATTTGCTTGTGTGTGCGATTCCAATAAGAACGATGTCTAACGTGATAACACTCACACATAAATAAATGAAGCTCTTTCATTGTACATTTTTAAATTTGCTCAAATTAGACCAGTATTAATTAACACGGTGACATTTTGGTAAATATTATAACAATTCGAAAAATACATTAGCTGAGTTTCATTGTGGATCACGTTGTGACAATTGTTGTGTTATCACTTATCAGCTTACTCATTGTTCTCATCGGATTGGATCTGTAATCATTTTGCTTAATACAATTTTTGTTGAATTTGTGCAGGTAATATCAAGGGAAGCAAGTGAGTTTGAATTGGGAAAAACGAAGTACTACTTGGTAACAGTGGGGAATGCAATACTTACACAGTGCTTTTACGTGGGAGCCCTTGGAGCGACGTCCTACGGCTCATCTTTGATGTCTATGGTCATCATCAACGTACTCCTCCCGATCACAGAGCTAATGGCCGTCGTCTTCTACCACGAGAAGTTCCAGGCCGAGAAGGGCATCTCTCTCTTCCTCTCCCTCTGGGGATTTATTTCTTACTTCTACGGAGATATACAAACCAACATCAAGAAAAAGAACCAGCAACCGGCGGCAATGCAACGGCCAGATGCATTCTGTACTACTTGTCAATTGAAATTGAATCTTTTGGATAGTGTGACATTTTAAGTTTAAAAAATATCATTATAGTCTTGACTATTGAATGTGTAAATAAATATACTCCCTCCGTCCCAAATTGAAGTGCAAACTTTGACCGGCACAAGGATTAAGAAATGACAATAAATGATACGCAATACTTGCTTTTTACACTTTTGCCCATATTTCTAAAAATAGATGTCTTTAAGTTAATGGAGAAAAAGTAAACACTAGTGGAAAAATGCCAAACAGAGGCGCTTCATCGGAGGCTCTTTTTAGCACAAGCGCCTCTTCTGTTAGGCGATAATTTTAATTTTTTTATTTTTTAAACAGGCGTGCAGCGATTCATACTAAAAAACGCCTCCATATTGTTTACGAATTATTTGTTATTTAATAAATCAAGCCGCGTGCGGCGCTTTCGGATTCCAAGCGCTTCCAGTCTCTAACCGTTTTTTTTTTAATTTTGAACGTGCGGCGCTTTGGAGAAAGAAGCGCCTCTAAATATTTAAGACTAAACCTACCCGGCCGACCGCGCTTCAAAGTTACGCAAGTTGAGACTGGAGAAAGAAGGCGCGGCGGAACGAAGCTAAGGACGTCGAAATCTCATGCGCCATACCTGCCGTCGACTGCTTTCCGACCGTTGCTACAGCCGTTTCTGGCTCCGACTGATATTTGCCGTATTCCACCGCCGCTTGCTGCAGTTATTTCCGGCTCCGACTGAGATCTGTCGTCCGTTATACGTACGTGCCGTCGACTCCTCCGTCCCAGCGTGCCTGCCGTCGACTACTCCGGCCCGGCGTTGCATTGTTAAAGGTGAGTTGATTGTTTCAATTTCTTTTTTGGCATATTTGGTTAATTTCATTTTTATTTGATTTTTGTTTAATCTTTTTAGGAATAAAAGTATATTTCTGCTTATTCATCTTATGTTTTACTTGGAAAATGTTGCTTCTGTTTTTTGGTTTTAATTTGTAAGTGTTGCATTATGGTTTTGGTAAATGTTGGTGCTAGTTTTTGGTAAATGTTGCTGCTGGTTTTTGGTAGAGGGTTGGCAATGATTTAACATACAATATGCTGCACACCATGTGTAGAAAAGGAAAATATAAAACCAGTTAAACGTACAAGCTTTTAAGGACTTTGGGATCCTCACCAAGCGGATAAAAGTCCAACCCACACTCAAACAAACTCTAAAATTGCAGCTGGTTTTTTTGTTTTAGTTAGTAAGTGTTGCAGCTGGTTTTTGTTTTAATTGGTAATTGTTGCAGCAGGTTTTCATTTGAATTGGTTCATAATTGTTGGAAGTGGTTAGTTTTTGAATCGGTAAACTTTTGCAATTTATGTATATGTTAGTTTTTGTCTCTTCCATTTCTTCACAATCAGGTGTCAATGATAAAATTTTCATTCTCTATTCGCTATTTTCATCCTTTCTTCTTGCGGCAAACCTTAATGGAGCTTCTCACTTCCTTTATAAGGTGATTAACTGGATAGATACTAATTGAGGGTGTAGGCAGATTACTTTATTCATTCATTTAAGGGATAAGGTTCAAATTAGACACTATGGTTTCATCAGAATCTCATATTGGACATTAAGGTTTCAAATGGACCAAATTAGACACTATGGTTTCATATGTATCTCATATTGGACACTAAAGTTTCATAATTCAATATAAGTGAGTGTCTACTTTGATCTTTATCCAATATAAGTGAGTGTCCAAAAACTATGAATTATGAAACTTTAGTGTCCAATATTAGATATATATGAAACCATAGTGTCTAATTTGGTTCATTTGAAACCTAAGTGTCCAATATGAGATTCTGATGAAACCATAGTGTCCAATTTGAGCCTTATCCCTTCATTTAATTATTTACTTATTGAGTAGTGACTAGTGAGTACTTGTACCAGGTAGGGTAGTAGTAATAGGCTCTGAATGTATCATGTTCCCATGGGAACCCAATTTAAGGCATGAAAATGGCCCTGTTAATTGATAGAAAAAAGGTGATGTTTTTTTTAACTCATGTTGGGAGAGTTGTGAATGGTTTTCTTTTTATTTCGTGTAACATGTCCTTCCATCAGTGACTTAGATTGAGCTTTTCTTGTTGATTTCCAAATGAGACTGATAGAGTATATAGACTCGGACCCCCGGGTCTCATGATTATTGGGCCCGGACAGCGGCCCACACACATCTTACGGATATCATTTGTATATTTGTACTGCTTATATGTCATTTGTATGTAACTATGTACTAGATTAGTCTTTTATGTAGTTGGGCTACCGGGCCCATATTAGCGGCCCGGCCCATTATTTCCCTATTTATACTCCTCTTGGAGCCATTTGTAACCCTAGAACATAAGTCTCAATTTCACAATTCATTCATCTTCTCTACATTCTTGAGCTCAAATCTCTCCATTTATTATATAGTTTGGATCCCTATAATCCATCAATGGTGCTCTCATTGAGATTAGAGCAAAATCAAGTGAGAAATCCTCCCAAAACATACCAAAAAAATTCATTCCAATCAAAAGAAATCAAGAAACAGTTCTGGGATTATTAGCAAAAAAAGGGGTCTGCATCTTTGGATCGGGAACCACCTTGCGCCGTTCTTCTCCTCCACAACCAGGTCTGCTCAGAATATCGCCTCGACAGTGGAGCTCCCAACGCCCACTTCTTGCCAATCTCGGTGGAAGCTCGAGGCACCCCACCGCAGCAGCTCGCCAATCGCAGAACTAGCTCGCTATTCCACCTCCTTCGTAGCTCGAACTTGAACCGGCAGTGTCTCTCCAGGCCCTGACCAGCCCAGCGTCCGGCGGCAGAATGGAGACCGTCGCATGCCGTACGACCCCCAAGATGAGCTCTGCCACTCCCATCACCGCGTTGCTGCCTCCGAGTTTTGCCGAACTCGCTCGCCGAGACCAGGTAGCAAGATTGGGGACACCCTGGGCGAGATACTTCGAACTATCGATGGTTGAGGTCCCCATCCCCCTTTCCGGCTAAAACAGAGGGTATCTCCCCTCCCTCTCCAAGCTAAGGAACCCGCCGGCCAAGGAAGCCACAAGTCCGAGCTCCGCCCTGAGGATACCTCGCAGTTGCAACCAGAGCCTTCAGGGTCTTCCCTCTCCGGCCGGAAGCAGTGACCTCGATTCTCGACCCTGATGCGATAGTAAGCGATGAGGGTGAAGCTGCGACCCTTTTCCGGCGGCTGCAATAAAGGTAAGCAGGTTCGTTTGAAGAAAGACCAGGCGTGATAGTTTAGCTGGAAACTTGGGCCAAAAGGGAAGCAATGGACCAGCCCACCAATCATGTTCTTCAGCAGCCCAAAAGCAGTCCAAATAAAAGAGCTAAGTGCCCAATACTCCTATTTATACACTTAAAATATTTATTAAGTGATAGTAGTATAATTATTACTGTTATTAATTATATTATTTCCACCACCATTATGACGGGTTAAAAACCCCCGAGGTGGTGAAGACCATTATGAGGGATTAAAATTTCCCGAGGTCGCTCATGCTGCATTATTATTGGTATTATTATTTTTATCATCGCCATTAGAGCGGGTCAAAAAACCCCAGAACGGTGGACCCGAGCTCTAGTCTACTGAACATCTTTATTTGATGATTTGAATTATATTTAGGTCCATCGACCTACCCTAGTCACCTTTATTTGGTGACTCGGGCATCTGAAAATGAGAGCCGCTACCGGCCGCACATGACATTATGCCCGAGAGCGGTAAACGGTACACCTCGTTCTCCGAGACGCTAATCGCGTCGCCCAAAAGCCGTTGCCATGAACAACGCACCTATTGTATTTCGCTTATTTTTTTGGAAATGTAAATAGAAGATACCACGTGTCGTATCAGCAGCCTTCGAGCGAAAGGCTCAGGTCTGCTCCACTTTGTATTTTGTATCAGCGAAGGGCTCAGGCCTAGCTGAGAGAGCACATCGTCCTGGCACCGTAAGCCTAGAGTGAAACGCTCAGGTATGGCCGACGATGTCCCCAGGACGAGGGGCCCGCAAACGGCCCACGTCTTGAAATGGGAAGTTCACCGTGTCGTCCACGCGCCAGATCGCAGGACGACAGGCCTGAAATCATGGCCGAGGTGGCAGAATCCCCCCACTCAGGGTTGGGCAACGGCAGCCGTTGGAAACCAACCAAAAGTCTAGCCCGCGTCATAAATAGGCGACGGGACCCCCCTGAGATCACGGACGTTATAAACGAAGTCCGAACCGGCCGAAGGACGAGCACACCCTTCGGCCGAAGCCTGAAAGAAGGATACTCCCCGATATAGGGAACGGAAACGGAAATAAAAAAAAAGAGGAAAGGAAAAAGGGAAAATAAAAGAGGGAAGCCGAGGACCGCGCACACTCGCCGGCCTCCAACAACAAAAAATGAAATCCCCACAACAATACTAAGTACATATCAGGAAAATACTACACATTATGGACGAAGCAAGACCATACATGCGGATTAGACGAGCGCCCAGCGCCGTCCATCATCTTAGACGAGCGCCCAGCGCCGTCCATCATCTTAGACGAGTGCCCAGCGCCGTCTTCCATTTGTAGACGAGCGCCCAGCGCCGTCCCTCATTTTCACACGAGCGCCCAGCGCCGTCCTTCATCCTGAGACGAGCGCCCAGCGCCGTCCTTCATCTTCAGACGAGCGCCCAGCGCCGTCCTTCATTCTTAGACGAGCGCCCAGCGTCGTCCTCCATTTGTAGACGAGCGCCCAGCGCCGTCCCTCATTTTCAGACTAGCGCCTAGCGCCGTCCTTCATTTTCAGACAAGCGCCCAGCGCCGTCCACCATCTCAGACGAGCGCCCATCGCCGTCCTTCATCCTGAGACGAGCGCCCAGCGCCGTCCTTCATCTTCAGACGAGCGCCCAGCGCCGTCCTTCATTCTTAGACGAGCGCCCAACGCCGTCCTCCATTTGTAGACGAGCGCCCAGCGCCGTCCCTCATTTTCAGACTAGCGCCTAGCGTCGTCCTTCATTTTCAGACAAGCGCCCAGCGCCGTCCACCATCTCAGACGAGCGCCCAGCGTCGTCCTTCATCCTGAGACGAGCGCCCAGCGCCGTCCTTCATCTTCAGACGAGCGCCCAGCGCCGTCCTTCATTCTTAGACGAGCACCCAACGCCGTCCTCCATTTGTAGACTAGCGCCCAGCGCCGTCCCTCATTTTCAGACTAGCGCCTA